CACAGTGGACCTGTCTCGTGCTGACGTTCTTGATTGAAAGAACGCGTGGCAGAAAGGAGTGGTCCCCCAGGAGAGCCAGCAAGCCCCTGTCACCAACGCCTGGCTGATGGCCGCTCCTGGCGGTCCAGGTTGCTGTCCTTTCTCAGCTGGCTGCCCCTGGGCCCTCCTGTTCCCCAACCTCCGGCACCTGCTGCTGTATTCACTGCCTCTACCTGACCCACCAGCACCTGAGCTCACGGCTCTGGCTGACTAACGACGGCATGTCACCAAGTAACTAACGAATTGCCAACTGTGATATAGGCTCGGTGGGACGTGTGGCATGAAACTCAACCTCAGCACTGGGGGAGAGGGGAAACCACGGCAGGCTTCTAGGTGGAGGTGGTTTTTAGCGTGGGACCTAGAGAGTAGGCATTAACCAAAAGAGGTAGGAAAGATCATTCCAGGTCAATCCATGAACCAGGTTTCGTACCATTTTCCCTGAGCTGTCTCATTTACTCTTCACAGTCTCCTGACTTGGTAAGTACTGAGAGCTCACACAGACAGGTGTGAAAGTCTTCCATGCAGGAACCTGTAGAAGCCTGCAGAATCCTCTGAGGTTCTATCATCACTTCCATTTACAAGTGGGGATAGGAGACCTTAAACTACCTGGTCAGCAAGTTAGAGCTTGAACCCAGGTGGCCTGGCTCAGACTCTCAGCTGCCAGACCCACAGCTTTCCTAGTGACTGTTCGCCACATTTGAAACACAAGAGCCCAAGAGGTCTGGGGACTTGCCACAGTCACGCATAGGGCTCCGAAGGTCCCATGCGGTGCTCACTCTGAGTTAGGGCCTCACTCCAAAGCCTCATGCTGTTTAGCCACCAACGTAAATGCTGACGTATTCCCCTGCAGCATGAGTACCTAGCTTTAAGTTCTTAAGTCAAACACCAAGCAATAAGCAGTTTGCAAAGCTAATAGGCAGAGAAAACAGTTCACTGCGCAGCCAGCTGTCCCCAGGCAGAGGAGACATAAGGGAGGAGAAGGGCTTGGTGTGATCAGAAGGCGAGGGTCAGGAGTGTGTCTGCATGATGTCTGGGCGACGGTGTCTGAGAAGTCGGCCGGAGTGGGGGGCCAGGCAGACTGCGGCCTTGGCAGCCAGTGATGCTCAGAGGAGGCCCGGGACCCCCTGGGAGCTTGTTAAAAATTCAGATACCTGAGCCTGGGCCCCAGAGACTCGAAGTGCAGAGAAGCAGGCTGGCTCTGGGATCCGTAATAAGGGGGTGAAGGAGAGGGCGCCTGGCTGGGAGCAGGTCTGGGAATGGCCCCTGTGGGGACAGTGCAGCCCAACTTGGGAAGAACTGGGCTGAGAAAATCAAACTAAATAGTATGCAAGAAAGGACAGAAAGTGGGTTTCTGCTTGTTTGGCTGGAACATTCCAGAGAAGCAGCTGGGTCAGGCCAGGAAGCAGCACGTAGCAAGCCTCACCAGCCACCCACCAATGTCCATAGCTCTGATCACCCCACAAACTTTCATACAAGTATCTTGGGGTCATGATGATTCATGCACATGAATGAAAGCGCTTGTCCTTTAAGGCCAACTGTAGAGTCTCAGGCCCTTTATGTGGCCCGTCCAGTCCTCCAACCCCCCATGATTACTGCGTGGTTATCAGGCACCTCGTTTTCTTACCTAGCAGTAGCAGCTGCCATTGCAACCCCATTTTACAGATGAGGAACATTAAGCCAAGAGATGCAGCGACTTGATCATGGTCCAGGGCTGGGGGTGGAGACGGGGAGCAAGGCCAGCAGTGCAGCTCGGAGCTCCTCCCCCACCTGGGGCCATGTGAGCTGGACACTGAGGACGCCAGGTCCCCGGTACGTAGCTCATCAGGAACTTAAAGTCTTGAGATTGGGCTGGTGTCTGTGGGCCTGGGGGGGGGGGGTGGCAGGAACACGGTAAATAGAAGTTCAGAACCCAGAAAAACGCAGAACCCAGAAGGGGCATCACACGGGGCCCAGTACAGGCAGACACCAAGTGTGTGGAGTGACTGGCAGCTTGCGTTTTGAGGCCATGGAATCATGCCCAGGCCTCAGGAGACCAGCAGGGCAAAGCTGGAACACCTACACCCCAGCGCTGTCCGGGCCTTGGCGGTGGCTGAGTCTCATCCCGCCTGCAGCTTGCTGTCCGGCTGCAAGAGCTTCAGCTTTAACATTTTCTTGGCAATTTCCTCTACGATCAGATCTCTACGATAGACTTGAGAGAAAGTAGGACTTTCATGAAAGTTTGTGGGTTTGTGGGGTGATCAGTTAATTTATTTCAAAGTTTTAAAAACTCAGTAGAAACACTGTTTGGAATGTATTAAGGAAACCACCACAAAACGCTGCTTATTGTCAAAGAATTCAAACAGCGCACCAGATGACAGCTGAGAAGGTGAAAGTCGGTCCCCACTTCAGAGGTTCTCTACTCCCCAACCCTGGAGAAGCTATCTGATACACACTGACTGAGAATAAGCCCTAAGATGCTGGTGGGCTCACCTAGGTTCACAGATATATTCCGTTTGCCCAACAAGATTTCTAAATGTGGACTATTGCACATTTTTCAGCTTCTCTGGAAAGCAAAATGTCTAAGTGACTGGACCCAAGAGTAGCTGTAGCTCTGAATGAGTCACTGACACTTGCATCCTCCACTCACCAGTCCCCACCACTCCCTAATACTTAAGCACCTCTAGGTGCCCTTGAACATTACCGTGCCTATTCTAGAAGTTTCCCCTGAATATAATACAGCACAGGCACACAAACATATACTTTCTTATACTTAACTTGAGAACCTTTCTATATTTGTGCAAAGAACCAGCTATGACTTTTCAAGGCTAAGTCATATTCCATTGTCCGAATCCCTGATATTCACCTATTTAACTTCCTCTTGACATATACAAACAAAAGCTCCCCTTTATAACATATTGTAGGAACAGTCATGGTGAATTTTTGTATAGAAAGCATAGAAAAAAATACATCATGACTTTTCCAACAACCCAATCTATTATAAATCTCCTTGTATATTTATATATGGAGATTAACTTATGAATATTATTAATTAACTCAGAACAAATACCTAGAAGTATAGTTACAGGGTGATGTGCTTATATGCACTTTAATTTGATATGAAAGGTTTTCAGTTTAGGATTTTAAGTATAGAAGAGATCAGAAAGTTGCTCAGATTATATAAATGTACATCACCAGAAAATAAAAATGGTACCCTCCCCCACACTTCCTGTGATTTGTGATTCCTCGCTCCCTCTGGCAACAGGGCATCCTGATGGTTAATGAGCTCTTGTATAGCATTTCCTGCCCTTCACTGACTTTTCTACATGGTTCTTTTTCACAACCTTTATTGACTTTAGGAGTTCTTTATACATGAAGGACATTAGACTTTCATCATATTTGCTGTTAACTGTTTCTCAGTTGTTTGTCTGTCTTTGGATCTTTTCTATACATTGTTTATTTGGGAAAAATTGTAATTTCATTTGCTCCCACATACTTGATTCTTTTACTTTTGGGGGAAAGAGAAGGATCTACAACCTATCTTGTTTGGTAGGTACAGGATTAGTGTGTGTATATATATATATATATATATATATATTTTTTTTTTTTTTAAGATTTATTTATTTATTCATACAGAACTGGGGTACTGGGGTACAGGCTAGAGATGCGGAGGGTGAGAGGATTCACCAGAGACAGAGTGGGGAGCAGAACAGGCAGACTGACGAAGTACACTGCTGAGGAGAACAGCGGGCAGGTCAGGAGAGGTCTGCCTCCCATGTGGATCTCCTTTGGGGCAGACGGGGATCGAACTCATGCGGAAGTGGCTTAAGCTTCTTAGTGCAGTGTTTTAACCCGCTGCGCCACCAGGGAGGGCCCAGTATATATATATTTTAATTAAAAAATTTGAGTGTATGGTGATAGCACATGGGTGATTTGGTGATGGGAAGCCCATGGGGATTACAATTGATATGAAAAAATGCATAAAATGATGTGAAAATAAACTAGTATATTATTTAAAAAAAAGTGGTAGATAAAAAATATATAGTTAAAATATGTGTAACTCTTTACATAATAATCATACTTTACTGTAATACTTTTGTCTTTTAAGTGTCCCTTAACTGAATGCTACCAAGTGTAATAAAGTACACTGTCCATGGGGAAAAAAACATGGAACAAGGCATTCTGGTCACATTACCCATTTGCGACTATTAAAAATATTTCAGTATCTTCAGCTAAGAAAATACATTCTCCATTTTCTCAAGGACCCAGCAGCACCTGTATGAGCTCATCAATGAGCTACGTCATATTTTAAAGTTATCTGTCTGGTCCCTTAAGACAGATTAGATGTTTGTGTGTGTGTATGTGTATGTACAAGTATATGTGTGCATGTACATGTCTCTCTGCGTGTACATGTCTGTGTGTACACGTCTCTGTGTGTACACGTCTCTCTGTGTGTATGGTATTTATCTTAGTACGCTAATGGTTTTCTGTAATTTAAGCTCGGCTTGACCTGCAATTTATTTTCAGCAGAGTAAGTGGACAGAGCCCAGAGCTGTGTCCAGGAGAGGGGAGGCACCAATGCCTGTTTGGGGGTTAACATCAACTACCCCTGCAGCTGTCTTTATGCAAGCCATGTAAATTCAGGAATCACTGAATAATCCCCCCACTCAAATAATCACCTTTTAAAAACTTCAGTGCATCTTCTGCCAAGTCTTTTCTTCTTACTGTGGAGGTTTTGGTTCTAGAACTCTTTGTTTTGTCTGTTTCGTGTAACATGTGTCAATATTCATAACTGCTAACACACTGTTTTAACCCAGCAGTTCCCACGCCTGGCTGGGCGGCTGCTTCCCAGTGGAGCTTGTTAAAAATAATGAATCAGCAACCCGAGAGGCGGATCCAGGAAATCTATACTTTTAACCAGTTCCATGGAGGTGCTCAGGACAGAGCCCGGCCAGCGCTAACCCACGCCCGCCCGCCCGCCGTACCTGTGATGGTTTGGGTCTCCGAGGTGATGGTTCTGGTGGTGGTGTGCGTCTGGGTGGCTGGCACTGTCTCCTCCGACACAAACTGGACCGTGCTGGGGGCCGGCCCCGCCGTGCTACTCAGCTGGCAGCCACTTTGCTTGTGAGCAACAAAGGCATCCAGGTTGTTAAACTGCTGCTTGCAGATGCCACAGATGTGGAGGTCAGGGGTCAGCTCCACCAGCACCGTGGTGCCACCTGGAACTCCATGGATGAAGGAAAGGAGAGTCACAGATTAATTCCAAACAACACAAATCAGACTCCTGGGAGGAAAAAAGGAGATGGTGGGGATGTGGCTGGCTGCTGGCTTAATATCCACTGCATTCCCCTGTCCTCCTTGACTGAGGGTCCCTTGGCTGTCCTCACAGCAATATACGCTGACCAAGTGCACTGGCCCGTGATGCACTGGCCAGAGGGGTCTCCTGGCATTTTATGCAAGAATGTTCCTGGATGTGTAGAGCTGCTGTGTACAAACAACCACCATCTCCCACCCCAACTGAAAGGTAGTTGTATTTCTCAGATATTATGAAAACTATCTAGCCCCTCCATAATGGTCCTATAAGAACCAGGAGTCTAAAAATGTTTTTCCTTTATATACTTGGAAATCTCTGCAACACCATGCTGGAGGAACCCCTGGGAAAAGTTTGGCATGGCTGGCACTGTCTCGCTCTTCTTCTGATCTTGAAGGCAGATGTGATGCCAGGTGCATCTGCAGCCCTATTGTAACTATGAGGAAAATGCTAAGATCTGTATGGATGCTTGTCTTTCCTTCACTGATTCCCTGAATCAACTCTGAAGTCAATCAATTCTAGACTTACTAAGTCAGTATAGTTGGGTTTTATTATTTAGAAACAAAATTCAATCTTAACTGATAGGGGATGTTATTTCTTAAAAATAACGATACCAAGATTTATAATGTGTTAATAGCTGCAAAGCTCTTATCACAGTACCTGGCACTATATTAGAAAGTGCTACATAATGTTAAAGAAATAAAATTAATTAATAACTCTAATATAACTACCTTTATTTTAATTTAAAAAATTATCTTTGCTTTATTATAAAGAAAAATGGTTAAAATTTAGGAGCAGTGGCAAGTAATCTTCCTACCTATGCATAACATAAACACCACAAAATATTTTCTTTCATTTGTTTTCTATACACTTAAAAATTATTTAAACTCATTCAGTTTTAGAAAATCCATCTTTCTCTCCCCACACGCTATTGCATAAACATCGAGCTTTATCACTAAAATCTCTTTACAAAGATGATTATTGAATAACAACACATTATTCCCTGTTATCCCTGCATTATAATCTTCTCTGTGGCTATTAGGTCTATTTTATTATTTCCCGTTTCCTCCAAGTCTAAATAAAACAGAACCACTGTTGTGCACAGATGGTTGTTCTACACCCCTCCTATTTTATGAAAGTTCAAATTTCCCCAAGTCTAAGACAAGACATTTCTGTGGAAATACGATTTGGTTGACTTGCTAAGGAGAGAGACTCCGGGCTGAGCACTGTAATGTTAGGAGCCTTTCTGGAGTCCCCCCAAACTCCTTGCCCTGACTCCCCCAAACACCCCCCTCGTCCTCCCCAGCCCCACGCTGAAATCAGCGGTTGGGAGAAATGAATGATGCTTTCTCTTCTCTTTTGGAGCACTGCCTCCCAGAGCCACGTAAGCACCCCAGGACCAGGAGAACAGGAGCCCAGAGATGGGGCTCCCTTCACCCACCCTTAATGGCCAAGGGGTGTGATGCCCGGATGAAAGGTTTTAGCAACACCCCAAAAAGCCACTGGTACAACCTGGGCTTTCTTGGCGTCTCACTCTGTAACTTGGCAACAGTGACTTGAGCTTGGGTTCTCACTCATAAAACGCGGAGACGTTTCCACTTTCTGGGGTTGTGAGGATTAAGTGAGTAGTACTGGGAAAGGCTGGCCATAACAAGCCAAACCAAACCAAACCACACCCAGCGCAAGGGGCCCGCCCTCCGCAGGTTACCTGGGGTGTGGAGACCCCTCAGAAAGTCGGCGTCCCCGTCGGCTTTGGTAGGGAATGAACTGACACCACAGACAAGAGTGGGTGCAGGTTTGTGTTCCGACCCAAAGAATTCTTCTGCCTCAGCCAACTTCTCCGAGCAGGAGCCATCTCGGCACCAGACAAAGGCGCGGGAAAGGTACGGAAACCCACGCCCCCGGCCCGCTTGGGGGACGCTGAGTGGGGCGCAGGAGGGCTGGGGCTTGGGGCAGTGCATGCTGCGCAAGGAACACCCGGCCAGCTTGGGGGGCAGCGTCTCCCCGTGAACATTAACAGGCCCCGGCGGGCCAGGTTACCTGCCCACGCGCGCTCAGCCCTCGGCGCCAGGGTCCCCGCCCGCCCCGCAGGCCCCGCCCCGCCCGCAGGCCCCGCCCCGCCGTCCGGCCCGCCCACCTGGGGGTGGGGCCCGGGGTGTGTGTGTTTTTTTTTTTTAAATAGGCGCTCGCGCTCCCAGGTGGCTGCGCCTCCCCTGGACCACACTTTGGGGGAACAATGCACCGGGCGAAGCCGGGGACAGGAACCGGCGGCGGTCCTCCTCGGAAATATTAAACGGAAAGAAAGCGACCACCGCCCGGTCGCGTTCAGCTCCCCGCCTTTAAGGTGGGAGGGCGGCGCGGGGAGCGGGCATCGCCAGCCGGCCGGCCCTCGCGCGACCCCCGCACGCCCAAACTTCAAGGGTGCGGAGCCGCGGAGGCAGAAGTTTTCCCATCAGCGTGGGGGCGGTGACCCCCCTCGGGGCACCCCAAGCTCCGCCTGGGGAGGGGGAGTGCCCCGAGGGGGCGGCGGTCGCCTGAGCCCTCCCCC